GCGTATATAGAGATATTTTTTGAACGGGGGAAATGGTCTTCGCAATTTGAAATCCATCGATCTCACCATGAAATGCTCGTATACACTCGCGCCATCTATCGTAGGATAAATCTACTATGCCAGAAACCTTCACGGGAGTGTATTAAAAAACTTCCCAAAGCTTCGTGGCAATCGGATAAACGGTGTGGTAATGCGTGAAGGACAGACACACAGACATACATTCATTTATATATATATAGACTAGTAACCCGGGACGCCCCCCAGTGGGCGTTCTTTACAAATTTCCACGAGGCACGGTTCCTTTGACTTTTTTGTTCCTGTCAATATGCTCTACAGCTCCGTTAAAGTCCCAATGGTAAGATTTACCCTCCGAACGAAGGGATGGCGACCCCCCAAACTGTAGCCCACCTGCGCGAACAATAAAGTCAAAGGAACCATATCCCTACGCGCGACCCTTCGCGAGATATAAGCCCCTGAAAATTTGCCTACGTCATTTCCGGTCACGTGACACCGCGATCGAAAGGGAGCCTACCGCGCGAAAAAAAAAATTAACGCGCACTCGGGGGATCGCCGACTCGCTTATTCGTGGGGTAAATTGTGGCAAACGGGCGGTCACGTGACCCGTAGAATAATTTTCGGAGGGCTATATTTCGGGAAGGGTCGCGCGTAGGCATATGGTTCATTAGACATTTATTGTTCGCACAGAGGAGGGTCGCCACCCCTTCATTCGGAGGGTAAATCTTACCGTCCCAATCGCGTCATATGGATTTATATTTCTACCTATTAAACATTCTATAAATACTTTAAAATAGTTTAATTTGTTTATTTACCTTCGCTCGTAAACCTCGATTTTAAATGTATCCGCCATTTTTTCGACAAATTTCCCTTTAGTCAATGCGCGACGTTTACTGACTTGTGAGTCACGGAATGTTGTAAACGTGCGGCGCGAGATTAATCGAGGCATATAATAAGGCAAGGCGTATAATAATTATTTATACCATTCCGTGGCATAAATAATAAATTCCTATTACAAATAAAAATAACTTATTGTTAATTTAAAATCATCGCTAGGGCTTTTCTAGTGCCGGTTTTTGGCATACCGTTACGCGGACGGACGGACGGACACGCGTTGAATGGGTTATATAGATAGATATTGACCAAATAATAATTTATTAGCCAAATAAATAATAATAATTTATATTGTTAATTTGAATGTTTGAAATATGACACACGATAGGGGCGCCTCTAGTTCCCGTTTTTGGCATATCGTTACGCGGACGGACGGATACCCGTTCAATGGACGTGCTGCTAAATATGCAGATGGCACAAAGCGCTGATTGGTCAGCTGAATGACGTCAACCCACCAAAATATACATTATATTTTGTGGTCGTCAGAACGAATCATGACGAAATAGATTATTTTTTTCAGTTGTCGTAATATGGAGTATCTATCTTATCCATTGAAGTACAAAAAGCATTCGATACTGTTAACAGGGATGTCCTTTGGAAGATTTTTGACTCTTTTGGATTAAACAAAAATGAAATAAACAGAATCAAACTACTTAATCACATGCCATACACCCAAATAAATATAAATGGAAAATGTTGGCGAGATGTACCACGTAGTGCAGGAGTTCGACAAGGATTAATTGCTGTTGAAACTGTATACTTGTCAAACTTGTATATTTCCTAAACTAGTAATCGTAAGTATTATTTGTCAATTAACTTGATAAAAAATTGTTACACCTGTATATAAGCTAAATATATGCCACAAATTTCTCTGAATATTGTCTCCAAATATAAGTGAAAAAGATGTTATACATAAATCTGTACTAATAATCTATTTCAAGCAACTTAGTATGTAAATTGAACAAGAATATATGTAAGGAAAAAATTGAACACGTGTTCCATGTAAGAGAGTTATGAAAGAAAAACTTTAATTTAACAATATGGAGTGAGTACAAAGTGAAAATACAGGTGATTAATTTTTTTCAACATTTCACTTCATACTTGATCTTTATACACCTCTGAACCAAATCATACACAAAAATCATTTTAATAGCGCGATTAGTGTTTTAAATTTACGTGCGCAGATGATAAATAACAGAAAATTTATACTTTGTCACAAATATTATTGGTAAAAAGTTCGAGAAATGACGAAATTTATAATTAAGACGAGTCAGAATATTCTTTGAATTTGTCATACGCATTTAATTTATATAGTTAGACGAAACAATAAAATTAACTAAGTTTTGTATACCTCTGAAAGAGAAATTTTCACAAATCTTGCTTAACAAATTATAAAGTTTAAATGTAAAAGTTGTCGAACACTTTTGAATAAACAATATTCTCCATAGATTACTCTTATCAAAATTTTTGTTTCTTAATGTTTTAGTTAGAATCGACAGTTCTTTCTGTCAATAGACATTTTGCGCTTTCGAATGTCGGTTCAAAATCTGTGTTAAGAAACAACGCTCTTCAAATTTACAGAAATTTCATATATCCAGTTTCATCATGGATATATCTGTAAACATGTTTAATCAAATTTGCATGACCATTTTTCAAATTAAAAGTATAGAATTCTCATATAAATTATTTAACAATCGATAATACTGTATTTAAATTCCTTTGAATATAATAGTTATATATTTTTAAAATAAGAATTTCCATACATTTCATCATGGAAATTCTTTATCAATATGTGTCGGGAAAAGGAATGTTACATTTGTACTGTAATGTTTTCGTAGTAAACTATTTTGTTAATCCTTTTTATTTTTTGTTAAAATAATATTACCATACTAACGAATAACTATTTCTAGATGCCTGGTATGCGCCGTATACCCGGTTGCGTAGAAAAATATATACAGTGTCCAGTGTCTATATTTAAGTTTTCGCGGGATTTGATTCGAAAAGCAAACCAATGAATTAGAGAATTTGTAGAAAAAAATAACTTATTATTTAAAATGTTTTAACAATTATGCATTAAAAAGTATGAATTATGTTTATGTGAAAATATATATTAAATTGTTAACTAATCTGCATTTCCACTTAGCGTATTCTGTTGTAATACAAGTTTCTGTAAGGTTAAAAATACTGTATTGTCTAATAAAGAATGTAAAAAAAACTTAATTTGCAATTTATATTTGTTGTTTTTGATTATTTTATTATTAAAGTAAATGTACAAGAAAGCTTAAAAAAATACAAAACAGATAAAAGTTACTTCTTGATGCTTAAAAATGTTTCGGCATTAAAATCTTTGATATCACGTAACTTAGTTTAATGTTAAAATTATTGCAAAATTTTCAATTAATGTCGATACACACCAGAGCTAGTGAAATTATAAGTGCCTTTTATCGAGTTTTAGATAAAATGTCTATAACTATTATATAATGTCTGCCCGCTCTCGCAACAACAACAATACAAAGTTTAGGCTGATCGATTAACATTTCCGATTTTAGTAGGTTGACGTCATTCGGCTGACCAATCAGCGCGTTGTGCCATCTGCATATTTAGTCACGTGTGAGAAACGCTGCCTTAATCGAATAAAACCGAAACGTCTGGCGGGGGCCCCGCCTGGCGGAATACGTTTTTTTCTCCCGACCGGATAGGAGCGGGCCAAAAAGATACGGAAAATACGGAGTCGATCTACCGGGCGCGGGAAGCGTACACCCACGACGTCACGGGGCAGAAAGAAGGCCCAACGCCCGCTCTGCTGGGTTAAGCTTTTTTTTCTTCGTTTCATTTTAAAAAAAACCTTAAAACGCCAATAAAATCCGTTGCGCCCTCAACTATATAAAGGCTGGTATACACGGTATGGAAATCCTCAAAGGATGTGCTTAACAGACGAAAAAAACTCGGATATAACTGGCTGGATCGAACATAGTAATTTACAAAACTTATTAAAATATCTCCCAACGTATAAAGAATTATTTTTATTTAAAAATGGATAGATAGAAAAAAAAATCACGGTTAATCCTCAAAAGATTTCATTACCGTGTATAACAGCCTTAACGCGACGTTAGGATGACGGAAAGGGGGTGTGGTCACACAGACTTTTTTAGTCCGTTAGAATCTGTTGCGGTAAGCCTACTTCCGATGCTGCTAATAAAAACATCGGAAGCCAAACATTTTATTTCTTCCGGAAACCGACCGCGGGAAAGAGAGAACGACCGAAAAATTTATTTTCTTCGTTTCTTTCTTGCGGCTTTCGATTAATCTTCCTACGTTCGTCGGTTTGAAGTTTGCCGATCGGCGGCTCGTCCTGCAAATTTTTATTCTACGATTTGTTTCGTAGCGTCGTCGGTAAGTCAGAGCCTAAAAAACAACCCTTCTTGCCGTTTTAAATTACGTAAAACGAAAGGTCAACGGCGGACGGTCGATGACCGTAAATTTCGGTGGTCAAAGGTGAGATACAGGGTTTTTTTAAACTCTCCGCCTTGTGGGCACTAAGAGGGCCTCTTTTAGCAGCTCGTTATGGATTTGGCCAGGCCCACAATGGGGCGGCCGGGTGGTGAGAGACGGGACCCGACGTATCCGGAAGGCCTACCCCCGAATAATTTTTAGGGATTTTTCGACTCGTCTGGATTCGCTCCCTGGTAGGGCAGCCAGAGATCCGGGTCCCCGGAACAGTAGGCTGCCATCTTGACCGCTCGGCCATCCTGAGAGTTCGGTCGTGTGTTCGCGCCTGGCCAGGACGGACTGGTCACGTGGAGTTTTCCGGGTTTTCTCCACGTCTGTAACGCCCGAATAGGGGCCAATTACCCTTAAAAAGACCTCCCGGAAGACATCCCACTAGGCAGATCGCCGTACCTTAACGAAACGAACAAACGAAACGAAGTAGGCGTTAATAATTCCGACCGAAACCCTTCCTTTCAGAACTATCCACCTGTTAATGTACACCGTGCATACAATATTGTAATTTAAAGACGTAATTTGATTTTGCTAGTGTTTATTTAATTTTCTAATTTTGCTAGTTGTTTACGTTATCGAGTTACGTACGAGAATTATTTATGATTTACGCTTAAACATTATTACGTAGAAAAAATTACTAAAAGTTCTGTACGATCTGTTACGAAAAGAGATTCCGACGAGAATCAAACGGTATTAAGAAACAAGGGGGAAAATGACGGCCCCGCCGGAGGCCAGCGCCAAACTGGCAACACTGTAGTTAAATAAACAACGGGGAAGATGGCGGAGGTGAACGAAGCGGGCGACGGGCCGATGTCGTCGTCGTCCATGTTGCCCGAGATGGAGCAGATCATCCGGAGGCTGGAGCAGGGAACGGTGCTCATCAAGTTCTACCTGAAGAGGAGGCCCGAGAGGCACACCTTCTGCGTCAAGCTGGAGACCAGGCAGATCATCTGGTACCGACCCGGCGGACAGGGAAGGAACACTTTCGGAGGCTCGGGTGAGACTCTCTCCCGCCACTTTCTTTCTTTCCGCGCTTCGCTAATCGTCCCTCGCGTCCGGTGTTGTTCCGTCGGGCCTCCCGCCCGGCCCGCGGGGAGTCGCGTCGTCGGCGGAGCGAAACCGTCGGAACCGCTCGCCGTTCGCCGCCGCGCGCCCGACCCGCTCCGTCGCTTTCTCCTTTCTCTTTCGTCCGAACGGTCTGCTCGGACCGCTTCTTGGTCTCGCTTACGGTCTCCGTGCTGGTCGTCGTTCTTTTCGGACCGACGCGCGCGACCTTGGTGCTGGCCGACGCGCCGGGTTTTGACGCCTCGCTCGGCGCGCGCGACCGGTTTTTCGACTCGAGACGAAACGACAGTTTTAAAAGAAGCGTAATGTATCTGTCCGTGCCGAGTTCGGGACGTCGCTCCGGACGGACGGAGAGACGATTCCTGGTGTCGACGGTACACGGTTCGAGTGGTTTCCCGAGGCGGCTCGGAGCATCGTCTTCGGATGCGTGCGACGTTCCGATCTCCTCTTCGGTGTCCTCTGTGGGGTGGGCACCGGGGGCGACGGCCTCGCCACGCATCGAGAAGTTGTGTCGTTCCTCGATATTTCGATCAAACGTTTCCTTCTTCCTGCCATAAACGGAGTCGTGTTTTGGCATGTGGAGAGTTTCGAGGTGTTCGATTGACCGATAGAATGGAATTTATAATATTTAAAGAAGTGAAGCTTTTGGCTGTTGCATCCTACTGAAGAAGTGATCTTGTTGGCGGAGCATTTTTCGAATTCGGCACTCGACTTCCTCGGTGACGGATCGTACAGTTTGGAAGTCGTCGAGGTTAATCGATGGCGGGTCGGAGGTTTCCGCTGCCCGTGCGTGCTTTGAGTTTTTTAGGTTTATATTAGTGTTGTATGCTATGTTATTCCGAGGTTGCTCCAATTCCAAATTTAAATAGGGGCCGATTTCATGTAAACTTCCTTCTGAGAGGCATCTTTCTCTTGACAAATTGCCCATGTTTTGCATTTTGTTGTTCAAAATCTAAAGAAATATATGGTTTATTTTTTATTTATATTTGGTTTTTGTGTGCATGAACATGGATGAAAATGTTCTACCTGCTGTGATGGCTGCTTGTGATAGGCCTTTTGTCAAACCCGTCATAAGTTTGACTCCAGTCCTGTAACGGAAGTGGCTAGATGGTTAGGGAAGGGGCCCGATGTATCTGGGACAAACCGTTTACGCAAAATTTCTGGGGTTTTTCAATTGCTCAGATACGTCGAGCAATTGAATTCAAAATGCTAGCTGTCAAAATATATAATGATAATACGGTTTAGAATGAAAATGGTGGGAAAAATACGACTAATCCGTCTAGTGGTAAAAAAACGAAATTACTTTCCGAACAACCCAATATTATAGTGACGGTCTGATTATATATGAAAGATGGAATGGAACTTGGTAACATATTTTGATCATGGATTATGAAGTTGGCCAAATTGTGATTTTATGGGGTATGATGGGTTGTGGGTTAGGTCAAACTTAATAAATCCATGAAGGTTTATTCAAAATGTTTTCTAATGCCCATTTAAAATTGTCTAAATTATGGCAGGTTGGCCAAATTGTTGTCTCAGATCACAAGTTCTTAATTGCCATTCTAGACTATTGAAACAATCGATGTTGAATTTAATTTATTTAGTTTTAAGTGGAATTGTCAGTTGCAGAACAGTTCATATTCAGTTTAGAAACATCTCTAATCTTATGCAATGGAATGAAGTAATTCTTCCATTGCTCGAATCGGTGCTTGAGAAAGGACCCAGGAAAGGATCCAAAAACATTTGCATGTAATCTTATTCAAATTTAATACCGGTTAAAGGTTTGATGAGGGATTATTTATTTATTATTTTTTTTTTTTATGAAGTAATTCTATTTCTTACCTTTAGTTTTCACTTAAAATTACTGATTTCTGACTCTGAAGAATTTCTATCATTTGCTTGTTGCTTTTTGATTTAGTCAAATATCAAATTTTCCATATCAAAGTATAATAATACTTTGGTATGAAAAATTTAAAAAATTAAGAAATAACTTGTTCTGTCTTATACATCAAAAAGTTAAATTTACTTACTGTAAAATTTCTTTTTCTCTCTTTCTCTTTATATATATAATGTGTGTGTGTATAAAATCAAATATTTGTGACTTTGCATATAGCTCCTTGCCTTGAATAGTTTAAAACATAGACACATAACCACCTGTTCGCCTTGTGTGACCATACACATTTTTCAGCATTGGATTCCAGATGAATGGATTCACCCAAACATTACATTTTACATTTAGATATATAGTGTTTGCATGAGTCCATTCGTCTTAAATAGTCTGAGTTTGCTTTGACGTTTCGAGTCATCAAATGAGGTAAAAGCAGCATCACAGGAGGCATTATAGGTGAATGCAAAAGATGGCTTACAGCAATGCTTCCAGAATCACTGGTAAAAATATATTGTCACCTAAGGAGACTAGTATGAAGATGGTCAGGTGTCTGTGTTTTAAACTAATCAACGCAAGAAACTGTATGCTAAGTCACTAAACTTTTAGATCTTACCATGTAAAGGTATTAAAAAAATACTGTATTTTAATTAAATCTAGAATATTTGAAATGCTTAGAAATGCGAAAATCAGTAAACATCATTGCAATATAACTTGGAATTTATGTTGTATTTTAATTTCATACATCTATGTTTTTACTGAATTGTAAAAACTGAAAAATAACTAAATAATTCAAAGTCTTATAGCTTTATTGGGCTGCAATTTGAAAAATTGAAGACTTATAAATTCTCACTGTCATTCATCTCTCTCTTTCCTCGATCTCAAGAACGATGTTAGATGGATGAACGTCAAGACCAGATGTGGAAAGCTTGGGCAGGAGGCCTCAATTAACTATATACAAACTTCTGGTTGAGGTGGGAAGCCATATTTCAATACAAAGATTTTCCCTCAAAACGATTTAGATAGATGACCAGCATGACTCTATTGCTGACAGGAAAAGTATGATGTATTGGAGCAAGACACTACTAATTTGAGGTGGAGAGCATATACAGTCAAACCTTGGGTTTTGAATGCCTTGCTTTTTGAACAATTCTGCTTATTAATAAAATTTTAAATGCCATATTTGCTTTGATTGCCAAGCAAGCTATTCTGCAAGAGCCAGCCACAGATTACAGAGACACAGACTATTGACTCTGTATACTTCCCGTATTGAAGAAAGTCGACAGCGCAACCAATCGACGACAAGATTACTGATTCAGAAGTTAGTGGTGTTGAGATTGCCTTGTGTCATTATACGTCACAACACAAACCATCAACAGCAATGCTATTCAAATTAGATTTCAATAAGCACGTGGGTAAGATAGTACTTCCGTTTATTAATACACGTCACAATTGAATTTACTGAATTTGAATTAAGTTCAATTAATTAATAAAAACCACATTAATTGATATTTACATAATATAAATGACGTCTACAGATTTGGAATTAAAGGTGCTTAACTCAAATTAAATAACAAAAATTGATTATTATATTATAATATTAATATTTAATTTAAACTTTATTAATAATAGATAGCCAGTTAATTAAAACTAAAAATAATAAAATAATAATTAAAACTCTGGTTTTTACAATGAAACTGAAACTACAATTAAAAATAAAATCAAAATTAATTAATTTAAATTAAAATTAAAATTTAAATAAAAGCAGTTGAAACATAATATTTTGGGAAAGTGTGGATAAAGATATATATATATATATATATAGAATAGATGTAGATGATAATATATTATATTGCATTTGTAGGCATTTCTATGCATGAAATACAGAGCTAAAAAGGAAAAAAAAACTTTGTGGGGTTGAAAACATTAATTTATTTTGTTTATGGGAAAATTTGTTTTGATTCAAAACAAATTGGGTTTTGAACAACTTTTAGTTTGAAAACCATGGTTTGACTGTATTTTAAATAAAATAAATTAAAATACGATTAAAAATTGCAGCTTGGTGTTGTGACAATGTCACAATAAATAATTGCTCGTTCATATTAAATATTTTCGAGACACGCATCACGTCATCAGACTTACAGTGCAGAAAATAACAAAATTGAAAATAGAAGAGAGTAGTAAGCCCTCACTTTAATTAATGGATTAATTGGGAGAAGAGACATCCACTATTGTCAAAAGTTTGTTAAATTGAATGTATTTTAAAAACATACATATTATGATAAGATTTTGATACATCCTGTATGTTGTAAATTGTTTATTATTATAAGTATGAATAAATTATTATTATTATATAATGTAAATGTTGAGTAAGCTATATTTATTGACTTAATATTTTAGATTGCTTTATTGACAAATAAAAGTAGGCTTTAAATTTTTAATTTTTGATGGATATTTTTTGTTCATTAAATTGAGGGTCAACCATATAATGCATTTTTTACATTCTATTCTATGTTTTATGATTTTGCATGCTATGGATTTGATAATGAAATGTATGACTGAAAAAAACATTTAATCTGAATAAATCTATAAGACTCCTCAAATTATTTAGCATTTTTAAGTTTTTATAATTCTTGTGCAGAAATGGAGTCAAACAAAACTATGTTCATACTCTATTGAAAAGTCAGTAGGAATATAGTCGGTTAAAAGGACGATTTGCATCATCGTCTTAACATTTCAGTTACAGAATTTTCTTTTATTTTAAATTTAAAATATTTGGTTGAAAATATGAACAGCAAAAACAGATTACACGAGTAAACATTTAATTTAAAATATTCCTTTTGGATACTCCCTTTCAGTGTCAAATTGACCAATAAGGGATGATATTTGATTTTAAATGTCTTTATCTGGAAGTTAATATTCATCCCGATGCATTGGTGAATGAATATTCGACCAGTGGCACTGGCTAATTATTTCAATTGCTTTTCTCTATTAATAATAATAGTAAGTTGCATTTCATGTAACATCTGTTTACCAAAACATAAAACATATTATTAGAGGAAATGCAAATGCATTCAAAGTAAAAATTCAAATGAGGTAATTATTCAAAAATAATAAGAAAAAGCCTATATGATTTCAGCAATAATGCACTTTTTTTGTTTTTTATCAAGGACAAATTTTCTCAACTCAGTTTTCTCCAATTTGTTTTTCTAGGATAACTACTATATTTGAACAATAGAAAATCATTAACTGTTGGATGTGTATAGTTCCTATTTGTAATAAAATCAGCATTTATAGAAATAAAAATATTTTTTATCTGTTCACATTTTATTTACAAGTTATTTGTGTAAATCTAAACAATATTAAATTTAAAATGATAGTATAAAGTGGGTGAATAAGTTTTTTTATTTTCAAATTATCTCTGTTTCTCTTCCTTATCCTACAAAACGTTAATATTGCTTATCAATAAAAATTCTCCTTTTATTTTTATCCTGAACTAGTTTTTCTGCATTATTTTGATTTCTTGGAAGAGTGTGGAATGATTATTCTAGCACCCATTAGTTACTTTGTTAGTTTAGACCAGTAATCTTTAATTAAACTTTTGACATCTACGGAACTCTCATGCTCAAGTATTACTTTTGCATAAATTTTAAAAAATAAAGAAAGTGCAGAAAAACTTAAAAACTGTTTTATTTCTAAGTAATAAAGTTTTTCTTAGAGTTAGATAAGATATAATTTATATAAATTTTTATTTTTCAATAGTTTTGGGAAAAGAATGAAAAAATAAAAATTTATTTACATAAAATGTTTAACTGATTAATAACTGCTTTAGGATAGAATTTTGATTTTATTAATTGACTCATTCTAGCAGAATAAGAATGCTGCACTTTGTTACAAAGTGACAAAGTGATTATACATTTATGATGCAAGATCCCAAAAAATTTCCATGTCAGTCTTGAGTGACCTTTACAATCTTTAAAGTAAAATAATGCTAAATTTTAATATTTTATTTATTTACTATATATTATTAATTAAAAAATTATATAGACCACGTACTTTCTAAAAATGACATCACTGAAACGTCTAATTAAGAACGATATTTTAGCATTGTCCATATATTCTATGGTGAATGAAAACAATGACATCGCTTCCATAAATATTAATAGTTCCTCCTCTGAGCCTTCCCAGGCAATTAAGACATTATCTACCATCATAGGTAAAGGAGAGGTTATCACATAGCAACGGGGAGGGAGTTAAAAATTTGATTCCATTCCATCTTTCATTTTTCTTAGATAATTCCAATCTTTCCTTTTTAGGAGTTATATTCCAAATGAGGAATAAACTCTGAAAAAGCAATTTGGTGGTTATTTTCCAATCTTATTTCAATATTTTCCATTGTTCTCTGAATCACATCAAAATTTCATCTTGTCATTGTTTGAATTTTTTAAAGATTACTTGATTTGTGATATGCATTGTAATATCAAGATGGCCCAAAGAGAATGATAATAAGTAGGTAAATCTGAATTTTGTTGGCCGTGCAAATTACTATGGCGTGAAATAGCATAATTTAGGAAATTTCTATATTGTGTCTATTAGTTTCCTTCATAATGTGAGCAATCCTCATTTTGTAAAAAACTAGATCTGTAAAAATGAAAGCATTGTCTTATTACTGTTGCAGAATTGATTTCTGCATTATATACCTCGTACTTTTGACAAGTTAGGTCGATGTTCCAGTTGATCAAACATTTCAATTGATGATTTATAAAGAAATGGTGATTTGTTATAAAATGCTTTACGTCTTCTGATGATTATATTTTCTCTTCTATCGATATAGCTACCAATTTGGCTATTAATGAGGATTTATTATACCAAAATCAAAATGTGACCTGTTTAGAACTTTATTCTTTTAATTAATTTCAAGATTTATTTTAGATTGAATTAGTTATCCTAATAGATAGGGTTTTAATAAATTGGAGGGCTTATCACATCAAGGCAGACCAGAACAATAGACTAGATTTTTACAAAAAAAAAAGCCTTTAATAGCCACAATCAAAATTAGGTAAGGAGCATTTTGGGTGCAAAGACCTCTCATCAGCTTACATACACATAGTAACACTTTGGGCTACATTAATACAATCTTAACACTAGCAGTAAACCAAGACAACTGCTAGTGTTAAGATTGTATTAATGTATCCCAAAGTGTTACTATGTGTATGTAAGCTGATGAGAGGTCTTTGCACCCAAAATGCTCCTTACCTAATTTTGATTGTGGCTATTAAAGGCTTTTTTTTTTGTAAAAATCTAGTCTATTGTTCTGGTCTGCCTTGATGTGATAAGCCCTCCAATTTATTAAAACCCTATCTATTAGGATAACTAATTCAATCTAAAATAAATCTTGAAATTAATTAAAAGAATAAAGTTCTAAACAGGTCACATTTTGATTTTGGTATAATAAATCCTCATTAATAGCCAAATTGGTAGCTATATCGATAGAAGAGAAAATATAATCATCAGAAGACGTAAAGCATTTTATAACAAATCACCATTTCTTTATAAATCATCAATTGAAATGTTTGATCAACTGGAACATCGACCTAACTTGTCAAAAGTACGAGGTATATAATGCAGAAATCAATTCTGCAACAGTAATAAGACAATGCTTTCATTTTTACAGATCTAGTTTTTTACAAAATGAGGATTGCTCACATTATGAAGGAAACTAATAGACACAATATAGAAATTTCCTAAATTATGCTATTTCACGCCATAGTAATTTGCACGGCCAACAAAATTCAGATTTACCTACTTATTATCATTCTCTTTGGGCCATCTTGATATTACAATGCATATCACAAATCAAGTAATCTTTAAAAAATTCAAACAATGACAAGATGAAATTTTGATGTGATTCAGAGAACAATGGAAAATATTGAAATAAGATTGGAAAATAACCACCAAATTGCTTTTTCAGAGTTTATTCCTCATTTGGAATATAACTCCTAAAAAGGAAAGATTGGAATTATCTAAGAAAAATGAAAGATGGAATGGAATCAAATTTTTAACTCCCTCCCCGTTGCTATGTGATAACCTCTCCTTTACCTATGATGGTAGATAATGTCTTAATTGCCTGGGAAGGCTCAGAGGAGGAACTATTAATATTTATGGAAGCGATGTCATTGTTTTCATTCACCATAGAATATATGGACAATGCTAAAATATCGTTCTTAATTAGACGTTTCAGTGATGTCATTTTTAGAAAGTACGTGGTCTATATAATTTTTTAATTAATAATATATAGTAAATAAATAAAATATTAAAATTTAGCATTATTTTACTTTAAAGATTGTAAAGGTCACTCAAGACTNGTGTCCGAGAAAGATCTTTATCATTCTAAACATTAATAACAAAAATACTAACAGGTGAAATGAAATGCAGTTTGCTGCAAAAGAATGAAGAAATTTAAGAGTTTTTTCTGGTATAAATTGCCTGAGGTAGATGGTACTAGTTGCTTGCCAGTTGTGATAAGGACCCATACCTTGGCCTCTGCGATTACCTGACATAACTCCACTGGATTTCTTTTTTGAGGGTTATGTTAAAGACAGGGTTTTTCAAACATCTGTTTCTGGTATATCCGTTCTAAAGGAAAGGATACAATTAGCAATCCTCATTGTTACACTGCAAATGTTAAAAAACACTTGGAGAGAAATCCAGTACAGACACGACTCGTGCTACTAACGGATCTCACGTACAGCTGCATTGAAGGTACTGTAAAAAACTCTTAGATTTCTTCATTCTTTTGCAGCAAACTGCATTTCATTTCACCTGTTAGTATTTTTGTTATTAATGTTTAGAATGATAAAGATCTTTCTTGGACATGCTGTATAACAGAGGGAAAGTATGGCAATTAGTGAACAAATGACCCTCGAAGACTTACACATTGCTTGGCCTCGTGGCAAACTTTGAGAAATGCAAAAATTTTGGGTGTTTCTCCTGTATATGTTAGTGTATGTGAGGCATAATTTTATTCACCTGCTTTGAAACTTAACTTCTGTGTGTTTTGTCAAAAATTTCTGAAAATTTGCAGTGACATTTGTGTATTGGGGAATTGATATTATTAAATTTTGGTGGTTAATGGTCAAGGGGATGAGGAGACAGAGGGATGTCATGTACCTTATTTCAACTGAGATTAGATGTGACTTAATGAAGATTTTACTTATTATTACAATATACAAATTTTTATAAACTCATCCCTACCCTCAAAATTAAGCTTTTTGCCATTTTATAATAATTAATTATATAAAAAGTTTTTAATAAAATATTGTAACAGATGGTGTCATGTGCAGTTTTAAATGTCATTTCCTGGAAAGTTATGTGACTTGTTGCTGAATTTTTTTTCTTTCTTGGATGGTTATATTTATGTTTTTTATTTTCAGTCGATTTACGAGAAGTAAAAGAAGTCAGAATTGGAAAATCTTCTAAAGCATTTGATCGCTGGCCCGAAGATTCTCGTAAATGGGACCCCAATAACTGCTTTGTTGTACTCTATGGAAATGCATTTGTTTTAAAGTCTTTGGCTTGTGTCGGTGAGTTTCTTAGGGAATTATTATTATTTTTATTTTTTTAATTATATTACCAGTTTATAGGTTTTTGATTAAGTCTGTTAACTATTATAAATCAATATAAATCTTTAAATTAAGATCAGAAAAAGCTGGTTTAGAAGCTAACTAATTAATCACAATTTGTCTATAAACCAAAAATTGACAAATTTTAAGTATTTTTTTTTTTTCTGAAAGTAAATTTTCTGGACATGCTTATACTATACTATATTGTAATTTCCATTATGGAAATGCCTAGATACCTTTTTGATTATCATGACTAGATATTGTGTTGTTTCAAAGCCTAATGTCTAACTATAAATTTAATAGCTTAATTATCATGAATTTGAATAGGCCAGTATAAGATGTGCTGAGTCATACCACATCACTCTGGCTATATCTATGTTTTGTATATTGCTTGCCATGCTTTGGATAGCTGTATCTTGTCCCTACAGTTGATGCAGTTTGAGTTAAGGCTGGCTTTAAATATTTCAATGGACTAAAAGTCTGATGTTGTTTCAATTTATAGAGGATATGATGAGCAGGGCCCAATTTAATTTAATCTCTGTATGGTGTTCTGAGGCAAACCTAGATAGGGCAGTGCTTCATATCACAATTGTGTTCACATATTCTCTGTTTTAATGACCTTTTGGTGGCATCAATGTAGACTTGATCCCTCCAAAACCTCTCATCTCTTAATTGAACTCTATATATTTCTGGGAGTTTTTGGCAGTTTTGTAGTCTTTTTCATTTCTCAGAATTGAGGAGAATATCATTTTATATTAAATCAATAACACTCACTTAAAAAAAATCAAATATACATCAAGAGAGGAATTTTTCAAGATTCCTTGAGTCCCCTTTGGTTCTGCCTTACACTTAACCCATCATCTAACACATTGAACAAAACACAATATGCGTACAATATCAGACACGACAAACAACACTGTTCATGTTATCACACCGCGTGTATAGGGACGGTATCAAACTTTATGCATCCTCTCAGAATCAGTTTTGGCATCTCTTACAAACTAAGTATACATGCTCAAATGATATACAAATGGAGTTTGGTCTAGACAAATGCAAAACACTCCACATTGAAAAAGGAATTGTGAAGAAAGGAGACTTTGTACTCAGAAGTGGAGAAATTATTGAGTCCATAGAAGAGGGTGAGTTTTACAGATATTTATGATTCCAACATACCAAACTTACAGAACATGCACAGATAAACAAAGGTTAACACTCAAAATACCAGAACAGATTACATTCAGCACTAAAAACACACCTAAATGCAAAACATACTGTTAAAGCAATGTTTTCTCTGTACTCACTTATTCTTTTGAAATTATACACTGGACACACACAGACCTTGAGCAACCCCAAAGGAAAACAAGAACAACACTTACTACATGTAAACAATATCACCCAAAATCATCCAGAGGAAGACTAACTCTTCCTTGTAAAGAAAATAGCTGTGGCCTGACTAATATAGTTAACCTGAAATACAAACAAATTTAATCCCTGCAGGAGTTTTTCCACAAAAAATAAGAAACATCAAGATTACATAAAGTTATAACTTTTGCAGACAGTAATCATACACCTTTAAACTTACACTCTTAGCACCTGGTCATAGCTCAACATAAATAAGAGACACCATTAAGCAGTCATGGGCCCAAAAGGTATGTCTAAGACCTTGCTCAGGACCATAGGATATTTATTGTGCCTGTTGTCCTCTCTTCCACTGGTGTTATACCACATACACTACACAAAAGTCTAGAAACATTAAATCTTAATAAAAACATATATATGGCACTACAGAAAGCCTCAATATTGAACACATGTCACATTTATTAGGAAGTTTCTAGACGTTGACATATACACCAATAAAACAGCTTAACATTACACTCATTTGGGTAGCTATGCCTTGATTTTAGTCCAGCAGAGCACTTGGCATCAGTATCAGCTGAGCATGACATTCACAACATAATAGTAATAAATATGCCAATACAAACTTGAAAAAAATTTGGATAGAAGATATTTCAAGGTTGATAATATGCAATGACTTTGGTTGAAGAGTCGATTGCTCAGTTTTTATTCACCATTAATATTTAACATACAACAGAATTGACAGTTGGCTTCTAAATAGTACTGGGAATCATTATGTAGAGATAGAGAATTACCAGAAATGTAATAACAGCTTTTGAGATACAAGTTCAAATGGCAATATATAATAATATAAATTACATTTGGATTAATGCAAAGAAAATGAACTGAAAAACTTCAAAAACTAGATGTATTAACTAAAATTTATGTATATATATAAATTTTAAAATATTTTAACATAATTATATATATAGTTCTTCCAACAATAATAGAGCATACAGTGATTGCCTAGAAATGCTAACTCTTTATTATTTTCATGTAACTTTGATGAAATTTTCTAATATGTTTGATAGCAAAATATCAACAATTATTGCATTAGTTTGGAGAAAAATGATTAATAAACAAAAGAGTTACATATTATTATTATCAAAAATAGGATGTTCAATATTAATAGAACATGTACTGATTGGTGGAATTAATTACAAAGAAAGTAATGACTGGAATCTACAAAATTTGCATAAAAATATGATCAACAAGTGTAAAGAAAGGTTTAGTAAATTGTATAGTACCTTACTATTAAAAATGGGACATAGAAGGACCTAACAGTAGAGGAGAACTGATGTACTGTACTTCACCAGGAAGAGAGAAAAGTAACTTTAATTTCAAAAAATTTGGAAGACCTCATTCAACAATCTCACAGTATCTCAATAATAAGGAGCAATGAACAGGAAAACTAAACATTAGGTGCAAGAGTTGAACAACACCCAGAGAACGGTATGCAATTCTTTGACATGCATTGAAAGGAAACACGTCTATTCAAAAAATCAAAAATGAATTGAAACTGCGCTGCATTAAATCAACAGTACACAATGTTTTGAGATCGACAGACAACTTTTTTTTAATCAAAATGAAGACAGGCAACCAGCTGAAGGAGAAACAGAAACAACTTCAGTTATAGTGCCAGAAACAACTTTGAAAGAGGGAAGGATAGTGAAAAGTAGTTTCTCGGATGAGAAAAAATGGAATCTTGATGGACCTTATGGTTTTAAGTATTATTGGGCAGACAAAAGACTAGATCAAAAGCAATACTCAAAGAGAATAGTTGATGATGGTATACTCATGACCTGTGTGGGGATTGGATGGAATGGAAAGACAGATCTAGTATTTATTGAAGATCAAAACAATTCTCAAACTTGCCAGGAGCTTGTCTGGAGTCATCTCCAAACTTATGGATAGAAAGTTGCTGAACAGGACTTTGAATTCATGCAGGATAATGCAAGTTTCCATGTATCAGAATCAACGCTATCCTTTTTTCAAAGCAAGAACATTTGACTTTTGGAATGGTCACTCCCAGTGCAGATTTTAAATCCAATTGAAAATTTTTGGAGTGACTTGGTTTTCTAAATGTATAGCAGTGGAAAGCAATACAAGACCAACTAAAGACTGCTCTCATTCAGGTATGGGAAAATATTTCACAAGAATGACTGCAATCTTTGATTAATTCAATGTCTAATCATAATTTTCAGCTTGTTTCCAAAAATGGTAGCAAAATCAGCTACTAATTTTAATTTAAAGATATCACAAGTCAAGATGTTTTATTAATGTTGGACATTTTATTTTTGTTAATAGTATCTATCTCTTTTGTTTATTAATCATTTTTCTCCAGACTTGTGCAATAATTGTTGATATCTTACTATAAATTATACTAGAAAATTTCATTAAAGTTACATGAAAATAATAGAGTTTCTAGGCAAACGTATGTTCTATTATTGTTGGAAGGATTGTTTATAAAAAAAACCTTAAATCCAGTAAAAATTAGGACATTGATTAACAGAAGAAATGTTTTTGACCATGTACAATGTCCATCTTTAAGTTTCAGAATGGAATTAATGAATAGAACAGAAAGTGCATTTGAAGTCAAAAACATAGAAAATTTACTGAAATATGTTGGCTGTCAAAAGGCTTGTTTGACCAGATTTTTTTTCACTTTTTGAGACAGTTTTAGAGTTTTAAATTTACATAGTGAGTCACATGTGTAGGATTGTATATATATTAAATAAAACATAGAAAATAGGAATAAATAATTAGCAAGAAAAATATTAAATACAAAATTTAATATTGCAAATGAACTGGAGAGAACTAAAGGCAAGGCATATGTGTATACATTCATTGCCATAAAATTTAGCATACCAAGGAGTTATCGTATCACTGTGAAGTTTGGCATGTAGATAAGTATCAAGCAGCTATGGAAGTTGTTAGAGTTAAAGAGTGATAGCTCATTGCATAATTCTAGTAGAGAGCATTAAACTTCATCCCCCTTAGCCTATAAAAAAGAAGTGCAACAAAGCATCATGTTTGTAGTTTATCTTTTTCAGAAGGACACAGTACCACTAGAGATGTCTTTATGTCAAAATCAAAGATCAATGAATAACGAACTGTGTTTGAGAGGGACAAGGGTCATTGGGTTTAGAGAAGTTGGTTGGTCATCTCACCAAATAGCCCACCACCTAGGCCATTCTGACAACACCGAGGAGTTGTTGAGACCAGTGGATGAGAGAGAGTTTGCACACACAGCTGAGAGGACCACTTGGGTCTCTGACAAGCATGCACACAACTAACCATATTGTTGTTCGCCATCTGGACACAGGTGGCGTCGTCATTACAGGCCTCTGTGTCTGTCCATACCATTTCAAGGCACCTGGGCAAGAAACATTTGGTATCATGACTGTCATTACTTATGCTGCCATTGATACCTCCCACTGTCTCCTCTATTTGGATTGGCATCACTCCCAACAGGATTGTACCACAACAGAATGAAACCAGGTCATCTACATTGATGAATCCAGATTTGGTTTGGGCACTGATGACGGCTGTGTTTGTGTTTGGAGGCCCTGTGGTAAATGTCGCAATCCTACTTACACTTTGGAACAGCACATTACCCTACAGCTAGTGTGACAGTTTGGGTGCCATCACATATGACAGCCAGTCATCTCTAGTAGTGATTCAAGAGACGATGACAGCCCAGCAGTATGTTAGAGACATCCTGCAGCCACATTTGTTGCCTTTTGTGGCAGGGTATCTAAGAATCATTTTTCAACAAGAGAATGCTTGTCCGCATACAGTAAGGGTGTCACAGGACTGCCTCAGCTACATTGTCACACTTCCCTGGCCTTCCAGGTTCCCGATTTGTCATCATTGAAACATGTCTGGGATTGCCTGGGATACCAAGTTGGTCAGTCTAGGAGCTTGGCCAAACTAGAGGACTGTGTGTGGCAACTCTGGACCAAGATGCCACAGGACATATATGACTACTATATACTTTCATGCCTGGCCATATCACATCTTGTATTTATACTAGAGATGGCCCAAGTTCTTTTCATTTATAGTTTTTCCTGCAATAAATGATTCTTTTGCTTTCATTTTATAATCACTTATTTATATCACCATTACACTCATACATATAGAATTTCATTTGATGCTTGGTGCACTAATATTTATGGCAATGAATGTATATGTGCATTTGGCAAGTTTCAAGAAAGACTACAATGGCAGATGAATACATCTGCAGCACACAAAGGAATTTTCACATTTTCTAAAAATGCTCTTGATGAATTTAGAAAGGAAAAGCTGTTCAATGAATTTGTAATTTTAAGTTAAAATTGGTTGAAAAATTGACTTTTAAATATGGATAACCTGCAGGTTAGCCACATAAAATTATGGTAATTTAAAATATTATAAAACATATATTTAATATTTAGTAGTGACTAGTAAAGAATGTGAACAATGGGTTCGAGGTTTACGGCATTTGGCAGAAGAAACCGTTACAGCACCTTATCCATTACAAGTAGAAAGATGGCTTCGAAAAGAATTTTATCAAATGGCAAATTTTAGAAATGTGTAAGTTTAATATATAATGATTTTTAAAAATTAAAGCTAATAATTATTTATTTATTTTCCACATTTTATATCAATACACAATAAGTTTAACTTTCCAAGATTCCTTTAGACTGGAGTGTAAGTATATGAAACAAAACAGTAAAGAACCATAATCAAAACTAGTAAATACATTATTTGTGGAAAATAAGTACTAATGTTTTCAATCACCACAGCAGATCTTCAGGTCTTCTATTAGCAAATTGGAATGCTCATAGAACACTTGTTGTAAACATCATGAATACATTCAGTTTTTCGAATGCACAGGACCTGAAGAAGAAGATCCATTGTGGCAATTGAAAATATTAGTTTTTATTTTCCATGATTAATGTATTTACTGGAGTTAATTATGATTCTTTAGTGTTTTGTTTCAAATACAAATTGAAATTTATAAAAGTAGATGTGAAATAAATACTAAACAATTCAAAAGGTGGGTACCAATTAATAGAATTAAAATTTTACGAATTTTAAATTTATTTGAAATTAATAATAATGATTACTAATATGTATTGTTTTTAAATAATTTAATCAAATAATTCTTGTATAATTTTTTTGCTAGAAAAATGTTTGAAAATATCACTTATCCATAATCAAGTATACTAACCCCCTGAAACAATAAGTTTTTGCACAACTTACATAAATTTAAGAAATTGTTGGTAGATGAACACATCATTGTATTTAAAACTGATAAATAGAACCCTCATTCTATTAAAAGAACTAAAACAATTAGAGATCATAGCTATAAGGCATGGATATAGAAAAAAAACCTGATTTGCAGTTTTACTTGTTCTACCCCACATTTTTAACAATTAGTTATTTCAGTAGTCACTATAATTATATTTTTAGTTTTACCATTATAAAAAATGACTGAAGATGGACATAAGATCTGAAATGCATATCCTTTTTAAATTACAGAAAATAAAAATCCACTTTTTTTTTATCAAGAGGCATGTTCCTGTGTGATATGTTCTCAATAGCAATTTTATGCTAGGTTTCAAGGAACATATGACCAATTGAGAGAACAACAAGCAATCAAGTACTAAGAATACTATCGTAGCATTACATATTGATACAAACCAACATGGATCAGAATTCACAATGAAGACAAATGACAAAAATGTAAACTAAAGTGACAATCAAAGCAATAACAATAACAAGAAATGTAAAAATGAAAAGAAAATGGATGAACAACTGTGAATTATTTAATGTAATGGATTACTTAAACAATACACCTTCCTTATGATTTCCAGCAACACTCTTTATTAGAAAACAAACATTTTCAGCCTTATTTAGAGGCCCGTTTCAAGTTTTACACTATTCCAATTGAATGGTTAAAGTGTATTCAAAACTGGAACATTCTAATGTTTAAAATTGTGTTTCTTACAAATTATATTAATTACAAATTTACAATATTTACAAGCTAATTAACAAAATTAAATAAGCATAAGTGTAGAATTATATCAATAATAATTAAAATAAAATTTTAAATGAAATTAAATTGAAACAATGTAATGAAGTAGCAATAAACAACAAAAATTTGGTGTTGTAAAATACATTATGTGTACAACTTCAATTAGATGTTTGTATATTATTGCAGGTGTGACTCTGTTGTAGGGGTTTATAGTGTTTGGCACAGACATCCAATGCATAAATGGGACTTCCTTCATTTCCATTTTCTGTAAAATATCTTAGTTTAGAAATAAATTTTCTGGCTTTATAATCAATAGTATTGTTTCCATCACTATTTTTATATTCTTTAGTTTTTAGGTGTTTTCCGAAGCATCCTGTTCAATAATTGTATCTACACAATCCTCATTTTCATTGTAACATGGAAGATGATATCAATTTATAAAAATTTTTTGTGATTTCTAACACTTTTATAGTTTATAAGAAATTTCATATCGTTATTGATTATATCTGGCATTTCCTGTTCTGAAGTCTAAATCTGCAATGAGAAAAGCAGTTTTGAATTGTGCTACAGCTTACTTTTATTTAACTACCAGCAGGCATATTAAAAATATTGCTTGTGAAACAGTAACCTTGTTACTAATTTGGTCTGCTTTTATAGATGATGATAAATGTTTTTCATCAATTGCTTCAAGAATGTATTGTACTACTCTTCAGTGATACAATGTTTTCAAACTTTTTGTGATTCCTACATCCAATGATCATATTAAGGATGTGTTAGTAGCCAAAAAAAATGCCACATTAATGTTTTCAACACTACATGAGAATAAGTAGCAGAACTGCCCTTGACTTTTTTTGCATTTCTGCATTCCAAGTGATAAGCTATTGCTGAAAAATATTGGAATCGATTGAAGTCATCCATTCATTCTTGTTGGCATAATACTCAACTCATAAACAGTCTATTCTAAGACATTTAAATCACTGAGTTTTAGCATGCTTTTCAATGATTAATAATTTTCATTTAAAACTTCGTAATGTATTACAGCAACAATATGGTAATGCAATCTATACTTTTTTGAACCTGACAGTGCTTCATGCTTAAAACTCAGAGAACCATCCTAAGTGGCATGGTAAAACAGCCCTGTTTCATCAGCATTGTAGATTTGGTCAGGATTAAATTTATAAAGCAGTTCAGTCACTTGGTTGATTTTCACTCTTTAATGCTCATAGTATCAGCAGTTTTTTCCACTGTGTACCCTCTTAAATTAACACAAGCACTTTCGACGAATCTATAATCTTCGTCTTCAGGTGAAAAGAATAAAATTTTAACAAGACAAACGTGCAGGATATTCCAAAGGAACAAAATATTTAAATTCAAACAGGCGTCCGGAAATTCTGTTAAGAACGTGCAAATAATTTTTTTTTTTTTCAGAAGCGTGCAATGTTCCCACCCTTGATCTACTCGGGGTGTGGATTGCCTTATATTGGCGCCTAAAAAGCGAAACGCACCTAACATCGTATCGCCAACGCGGTAGCATTTCCACACATGCGCCGCTAACATCGTAAAATATAAAAATTCGAACATATCAAAAAAAAAATTATTTGCATGTTCTTAACGGAATTTCCAGACGCATGTTTGAATTTAAATATTTTGTTCCTTTGGAATATCCTGCATGTTTGTCTTGTTAAAATTTTACCCTCTTAAATTTTATTTGTATCAGGTTTTCTTTTGCAATAACCACCCATGTATAGTTTTGAAATTTGAATAACCCATCTTTGTACAAGGATCATTCAAGGTTAATTAAACAAGACTTTTATTTTTACAGACCAGAAGGAATGTCCAAAACATGTATAAAGTATGTCAATTTTTTGAAATACTTTTCATCTGTATGTAGACACTGTTCCCAGTGACAGGGTAGGTCCCTGATACATGATGTTAGCCCACTTCTTTCTACAAGAAATACCTTTCTTGTAGAAAGAAGTGGACTGACATCATAGCCTACATAGGACAATTTCCTGCAGTTCATCATCTGTCTGGAATTTTGTGCCTCCCAGGTGCTCTTTATGTGTCCCAAACAAATGATAATCACTGGTAGCTAATCACCTTTGGTATGAAACCAATTTAGAAGTTACTCACATGTCTCCTTGTGTACCCATTTCTGATCACACGTCAACTGTCGGGAAACCCATCTGGAACACATCTTCGGAACAGTAAGTGCTTGTGAATGATTTTCTCAACACTGCCGACACTAAGGGACACTTTGTCTGCAATATGTCTCACTACTATTCGCCGGTTCTTCAGAATAACTTGCTCAACTTGTGTGATATTCACTGGCATTACTGCAGTTGGACAAACATGCCAATGTGCTTCATTTGTCACCAGCTCGCATCCTTCACCAAATTGTTGACATCCTTTGTACACTCTTGCCCACAATAGCATTTATTTTCCATACTGTGCACTAAATCTTTTCAAAATTTCAGAAGGTTTAATCTTTTCCTTCATGAGAAATTTGATTACACACTGCTGTTCCGCTGTTGTGGACACATTTCCTTCTGCCACAATCGCTAAAACTGCTACGCACGCTCAAAATACATCATGCTTGCTACTGAAATCTTGGGATGCATAATGCTACTCCCTCTTCAGGTTTTATCATGCTACAGCTACTTTTCAAAATTATAGGCCCAAAAGTCTTGTTTAACCTTGAACGACCCTTGTAGATAACACTTCTGATTTGGTTTTTAACATAGGCCCATTAACACGTACTTCTCTTTACTGCATACACTTTCCCAATAAAGCAGTGGGACGTGCCAAATAAGCAAAGTAAATTTGCTTTATATTATCTCTTGTTTTATCTTCCAATATATGTTCCAGACAAATGGCAGTCCCAATTAAATAGATTGTATTGTATTTAAACATGTTTTTACAGTACATTATATGAACCAAGCACCCAGAAAGTGCACTATATGAAGTTGGTTCATATAGTGCACTGTAAAAATAATGTGTTTAAGTATCTTTAAATAAAGCGATCTTGTTTGATGGTAGTTAGTTGAAAGTTGGAATGCAGAGAGTGATAACAGAAATGAAACTGTTCAGGACAACAAAAAGCAAAATCAGATTTAAAATAAAAATGAAGTAATAACAAATAGCTTAAAAGCAATTAGTCTGATAGACAGAATGAGAAAAGCATGTCTGGATTGGTTGGCTGTATGGATGAGAGTGCTTTGAAGGAAGACCAAGGAATTCATAGTCTTCTTGATTATGAATAGAAAATAGAGTACACTAGACTAAGAGAAAAACCAAGGAAGAGATGAAAAGATCAGATCAAAGAGGGCTTGGATAAAATAGGAAAAAACTCAAAATTGAAAGCCATGAAGAAGATTTTGGGAAGATAAGAAAGAATGGAAGGCTTTGACTAATATACCAAGCCATTAATATTAAACACAACAATTAACACCAAAATGCTAATAATGCTAATGCTAAATGCCATTAATACTGTCTTTAAGAGTACTGTATTTTCTGTAATAATTGCCCACTGGGAGATTGTTTTTCATTTTTGATGAACAATTATTGGATTAAAAAAATATTGAAGTTGTAAGAAGGAAAACAGCACAATTCCAAAAGAGATGTAAAACTAATGTAACAACTAACATAAAATGCTTAAATCAAAATATTGTGACAAATATATAAGAACTAATTTGAAATATTTGAATTACCATAATTAACTTTATAAATTTTGATAATTTTCGACATTGGTAATATCAAGTCTATAGCAATACTAACCAGTATTCATTTTTATGATTTCTATATTGAATACCACTAATACATTGTTATTTAGGTTACCCTCACAATACAAGTTAGATGGATGATTATTACAAGAATATTTATATGAGCAATTATTACATGAAATGCAGTAAATTATTCATTATTTATTGATTAATTTTTTAATGGAGAGAGTCAGTTTTAATACATCATTTACAGAATATAAAAACAATTTTTACTTTTATACTATATTTTCTGATTGATATTAAATTGCGGAATTAACAATAATGCATTATGAATGATCATTTTTTATAGTTCTTAAAGTAGTTCTGTATATCTGATGGTAATTTTAAAATTACATTTGTGTGTTGTTTTTAACTTATAAAAAAATTTTTTTTTAAGATTATCTCTAAAAGATGTGAAAGCTTTTCTTCCAAGAGTGAATTGTAAATTACCTACAAACAGATTAAAAGAACATTTTCAGGTTGGTCTCTTTTTAAAATAATTTCATTTTTTATCAGTTTATTGTGATAGAAATTTTACTACTATGCATATGTAGCTAGAACTATTTCTAAGATTATCAGCACAAAACCTTTCTCACTAATTTCTAGCCTTATTAACTGGAGTACAAATAGCCTTATTACTTGCTAAGGAAAATTTTACCACTGTTCTTGGTTTTTGATAAACAGTGTTCTTTACACTATTCAGTTTAGCCACAAACCAAAGAATTATAGTGAAATGTTCTTTAGCCACTAAAACAGCAGTATGAGTGGCTAGCCTTGTGAATAACTTTAAACATATTAATTTTTCAGAGAAAAGGGAAATTTACCATAATGATGAAGAGAGATAAATCTCCGAAAATGTGCATATAGATAAGGAAATAAATATGAGAAATAAGAAAAGGCATGCATTTTTATGGAGTAATTATTCACATAAGAAGAAACAATAAATAATACAGTACATTTACAGAAAAATGGAACTGGCAACAAAGTACTAAAGTTATCGGGTTATATGATTTTTAGTTTTTTAATTTTTGGAAGTAGTCTATAATAAATTTGATAACAGTTGTTACTATGAGTAAATCTGTTGCCATCTGTTAAATAGTTTAACAATTAATTATATGAATTTATAATTTCTTAGAGTCATAGGAAAGAATAACTTGAAGTAGAGCTTAAACCTGCAACTTCTGTACAGTTGACCCCCCCTATAACACGGTAGATACATTCCTGTTTTTATGAATCCAGCTTCTAGGAGTCCAGGCAATCACAGCCCGGCACGTATGCAGTTTACGGACTACGGCTGTTTGAAAGGTTTATTCCATAAAATTAATCGATTCTAGACTAATTCGATTCAACATTTCCAAAATATGTATAATTTTTTGGGAATAATCCATATAAACTATGCTATAAACAAAAAATTGTAGGATTACTTATCGAGTGTGCACCATTCGACTACGCCGTTGTTTAAGCTCGTTTTCGCCGTGGAGATTGTCATCGAATGGCGCTCGTGTGCTTCCTGATAAATTATTTTTTTTGCAAAAAATTCGCTGAACTTTAGAGACATCATTAATATAAATATAATTTTTATGGACGTTAAATAATAAATGGTTTTTGGTGGGTTTGCTGCTTGTTTAAACTCAACGGTTTGTGCAATCCTGTCGTGACACGAGTCGGCGATGACATTTCACCAAATTATAGGAGTTTTTTTAGCATGTATGTACGAATACTGTCGAAATTTTTTCGCTGTGATATAGGAATCCGAACTTTAGGAACCCGTGTTATAGGGTAGTTGACTGTATATCAGATTAGCAGTTATATAATCCAGATCAAGTCAAACCAGATTTGATTTGATTCAAAGAGACTTTTTGTTAGATTATATGAGTTTAGAAATTAAATATAATTACAGCAGTTATACATTGATATAATGATCAAAGGAAAATTATTTTGCTTTCTGATTTACAAACAGCACTCAATTATTAATCAAATTCTATAAATAGTAATAATGATTATAAATTCGTCAAAACATTTTTAAAACAAGTATAAATAAGAATGTTTATATAAAAACATTCAGAAGTTATCTTCATTAAGGAAGTAAATGTAAAAGTAAAATAAAAAAAATAATGAGGAAGTAAATTAATCTCTTCCTTTTATTGGTTTTATTCTTTTCAAAGCAATTCTTTGCTAGTAATTATATTCAGTTGGTATTATCTCTTGTTCTGTTATTAATAATAAACTGTAGTTTTGAAGTTTTCTCAGCTTATGACATTTATGGGAAGATGTCTCAATATTAGATGCTACTAATATTCTTAATGAAAAAACTTTTGGTTCTTAGATTTAATATTTTTAAACTTAGAATTGAAGTGACTTTTTAACTAAAAAGATTCTCTAGATTTCTAGAACAAAATATTCTGAGTGTTTCATGCATCATTTAATTAATTTCATGTTATTGGTTTATTGATGTAATAAACTATCTGTAGGATATTTCCATAGGTCTTATTACATAAAATTGTTATGTCAACATAAAACTCTCACAAGGAGAGGGTTGGAATCTCCAATTCAAATGAAACTTGGTGAGCATGTAGCCCCAAATGCAAATAGCACCTTGTCCAAATAATAGGACCACTCTCAAGCATTTCTGAAAAACAAGTTTCTGAAAATTGAGCATTTAGCTTACATGTTTAGAAGTTTCATGGTTCCTTAGAATGGCGATAGCCTTGCAGATAAGATGCTAGGCACTGCAGCTATGTGATGTAGGTTGTAATTTTAGTTTTTTAGGTGTAGCATAATTATTGTATTTTATTATTTTACAGTATCATTACATTTTTATTTCATATGTTTAAAGCTTAAAAAACAAGAAATTAAAACTTATGATGTCATTTCCTATTTAGCAAAAATGAAGACACTGTAGATTTAATTTTTTTATGTCATTAAATAAAATTTTTATTTCTTCATATTTATTTTCAGATATGGTGGTATGTTATATATAAAGTGTAACAAAAACAAGTGCATGAGGAAATTGCCCATAACAATTTAAAAAAATGCCATGACTATGTCTATCCTATTTTCATATCAGACTTGTCTTTTTGTCCATGAGCAGTAGCTTCTAAAGGTTATTTGCTTGTGGTGACATAGTATATAATCACAAGAGAAAATATCTGAAAATAAATATGAGGAAATAAAAATTTTATTTAATGACATAAAAAAGTTAAATCAATGGAGATTCATTTTTGCTGAACAGGAATGATGTCACAATTTTTTAATCTCTTGTTCTATAAGCTTTAAATGTAAGGAATAATAATAGTAACAATAATGCTAATGATACTGTAGAATAATAAAATAAAATAAATATGTTACACACAAAAAAATCAATTAGAAATTTTAAAGGTTCAAACATATATTGCATAGCTGTAGTGCCTAGCATCTCATCTGCTCGGCTATCGCCATTCGAAGGAACGATAAAACTTCTAAACACTCAATTTTTAGAGGCCTGCTTTTCAGAAAATGCTCTCCTATTATTTGGACAGGGAGCTATTTGTATTTGAGACTAAGTGCTCACCAAGTTTTGTTCAAATTAGAGATCTGAACTGTAGTGTAGTGTAGAACTCTCCTAGTCAGTGTTGTCCATAAACTCGAAAATGCTTAACTATGCTAGACAATTGGGAGGAAAAAATGACTGAGTAAATACAACTTTGAGTTAACCAGGTTCAACTGTATTTGATTTTCTCAATATTCAATTAATCAGGACAGCAAATACTGCTGGCAAACAATGGTAGAAGATAGCTGTTTTTATGACATCATATCTTTGGTATGAGAATAATATAACATATGAGAAATGTGTAACAACTTATTTTCACATTAATTTTCTTAAATGAAAACTTTTTGTAGAAACATGTTCTCATTAATATTGCACTTTATCATGATCTGAAATGAAATGTATTCAATATTGACAACATAAAAATCAGCAAAATTTCACAAACTTCTTATTTTAGTATGATTCAAATAAGTTCTTTGGTGTTTATTTGAGGCAGGTGACTAATCAAATCCTGGTGCTAATTCAAGAAAATATGATATTTTTAACATTCTTAAAATTAATTAAATAAAAATATAACTAAAGAAAGCTACTTAGAAGTATATTAAGTAATAAAAAGTAATATAATTTAAATTAATTTTTATTGATTAATATGTTTTTATATACATTGTATTAATTTATTTAATTAATCTAAAATTTCATTAATTATTTAAAACTACACATATTCTATGTAGTACAAGGTGTATTTTTAGTAAATGTATGATATTTTTTGATAGAAGAGAATAGAGATGATAGTATGAACATATATTCATTATTATTAATTCTACATAATAAAAATAATTATAATTTTTTGTGATTGACATAATGGAAAACAAATATTTTGTCTTATTACTTAAATCTTTTATATACTGTTTATTATTGTGTTTTAACTATTTGTGCTCAAAAACTGAATTTTTGTATATAGCATTTATAAAATAATTTTGTTTAGATATTTTGGTAAAGAAACCTTTACATTATCTTTTAATTTCTTATAGGAGGTTGATCTCAAGAGAGCTGAAGAAATTGGATTTGAGGAGTTTGCTAATCTCTATCATAATGTCATTCATGATGAACAGGTATTTTAGCCTTATTTGTTTGGAATATTCCTAAATTGGTATGAAAAAATAAAGTTAAACTACAAAAACAGAGCATTTATATGGAAAATATTTTCTATTTAAAAACTGCTTAAATTCAGCATCAATATAATAAGACTTTAAATTAAATATTTGTTACTGTTATGTATATAATAACTTGTTCTAAGACAGTGGTTCACAATCATTCCTAATCTTTTCACACTTGATTATAAAAATTTTTGGCAGAACACTGAAATTAAAAATGTATATATTTAAGATGATATAATTTTAATTTTATAAATAAATCTTAAAACTAGCAATGTAATAGATATTTTAAGAACTTAATATATCTTTATTCACAAATTACAGCATTAAAAAATTAACATATAATGCACAAAAGCAAACTCCAAGGAATATTATATATTCTTTGAAAAAAGTTTAACTTAGATATAATTGTCAGATGCTGTGTACACTTATGTCTCAGACAGGTGTGTAAATTACTGTGGTTGTGATTTGATTGTAAGACAGGCATGAACAGTCACAATGATGTCTTTGTTCACTACCTAGAGGCAGGCAGAATCCTTGCTACAGAAGCTTGTTTCTTCCTCTACCATTGACAGGTGATTATAAGAGGTAAATTTTCGTGCACAGTGACTGCTGTGCATCCTGCCATTGGCATCTCAATATTGTTAGCTTTGTTTGCAGTGGTATTATGGCAGAGAGAAGCATGGTGACTGTTCCAAACACAACGTGGATTTTTTATTAAATAACCAGCATATTAAAGCCTGGAGGACTACTGATGATAGCTTTAATTCTGCATTTACTGTTAAGCAGCACAGTGACTCCTCTGCCAACCTCTTGGTTCTGGGTAGCATAACTTGAAGTACGTTGGCATGGTAAGCAGATTCTCCATTCAATCTTTGCTTGCAGAAATATTAATTTAAAACACAATCACTCACAACTGGGTAAATTTGATTTTAAAAAAAGAACCACAAAAAGCCAAAATAACCAGCAGAAAAAAGGTGATAGAGTGCTAACATTTTTGTCCATGCTGAATGGGCATCGGGCTAAATGACCCACAGCTGCTAAAACAACGGGAATTCCCGTACACATGTGAAGAGGGAAGGTGATGCAAGAGAGAGGGGGAGAGAATACTAAGTTTACAAGTCATAGAATGACTTCCATGCAGGGGGGAGGAATCAACAGTGCAAAAGTTAATAGTGGTACTTTTGTGGGAGGCCTTGTAAATTTCAATCTGCTCTAAATGTTGAAGTTGTTTCTTTGTGGAGCCATGCATTCTGCATGCATGATTAAAATGCACATCTATGTTGCAATCAGAGGCAAAGATAGCTAATGCAGCATTGGCAGACCCTTTCAGGATGGAATTTGATGCTCTCTGAAACAGGTGTTTAAAGGGCACATTATAGCATCTATGTATTCCAAGTTGCAGTTGGTTCTGTGATCAATAATGGAGATAGAGTAGAAGACTGGTTGGAGGTGCATGTCAAGACAGTCTTTAGCATTGTGGAAGAGAATGAAAACTGAGTGACTTCTTCAGAAAGCTAGACAAAAATGATTGTTCCTGAATATTTCTTTGTACAGGGCAGCTAGTCTAACTCTACTGTATGTAGTCCACATTATTCTTGCCAGGTTTAGAGTATTTACATACATTGTGACATTAACAGGTTATTATAGATCTTTTTAAAAATTACATATACAATTATAACTGCTTTTTCCACAAAAGAGAAATGAAAAATTTTATTATTTGATAAGAGATCAAAGTGAAAAAAAATTGAAAAAAATAATTGCAAAATTTACATGAAATTTTCTAATTTAATTTCTATAAGTTTTTATATTTAATTTAATTCATATTTAAAATATAATTACTTCTTTTTGTTTTAAAAATCTTTTTAAATTTTATTTTAAGATGGAAATAAAAATGTATCATTAATTTATGCAATATTTTATTTTTTACAGCTGCTTAAAGATTTAAGACAATATTCAACAGATTCAAAAAAAGTAACGTTACAAGAATTTCAGAATTATCTCATTCAAGAGCAAGGAGTAAGGATATACTTAATAGGATTACTTTTTCTTATTTATAAAAATTTTACCTGTTTTGATAGTTAAATATTGTGATGAAGGAAATGAAGATGGATGATTTTTGTCAAGAACAGACCAATGTTTATTAAATAAATTGAATAAAAATAAGGAAAAAAGTAATTAAAAAGGAAAAATTTTAAACAAATTAATTTTTAGAGTGTTGTTTAAATTTTTTCACAAATAGTTCATTTGATTTTCTGAAATTTCTGGATAAAAAAGAAAAAACACTCTTATTTTATAATAAAAATTTGATAAATTAATCTTTTAATAACAAGGCATTAATCAATATAAAGTTCACCAACCGTATGTAGGCCAAGCAAGTACAGTAAGTGAGAAAACCGTTACTAACATTTTCGGTCTACACCTAAGAATTTCTTCAGGTAGATTTTTTCAAAATTGAATCTTTCTAGTATTGGCATTCTAGATGGAATACATATAAGGCTCTCCAATATATTCAAATTCAAATGTTTTTTTCTTTAAATTTTTCGTAGTACCAGAAAGATTCAGTTTTAGAAATATTACCCGAAGAAAGTCTTAAGTGTAGACCAAAACTTTAGTAACAATTTTCTCAATGCAAGGACTGCATAAAGTTGATGGGCTTTATAAAAATTTGAATAGTTGTGTTAAACTTTTTTCATACTATTTAATGTTTATATTCACTAACAGTGTTTCTGTTCTTTAACCCACATATGTGTAAAATTTATTAAACATTTTTTGCTAATTTTTATGAAACGTAATAAAAGACACAAAAAAGATTGCTGACAAGCATTTATAATAAAATTTTTAATTATTTTTGGTGGTAATTATTATGCCTAATGTCCTATCCTATATATACATAAATAGGATAGGGCATTAGGCATATGTCATGCTATTATATTAGCTATACCCAATGAATGTTATTTATAAATTATGTTCTGTGGAATTGTACAAAATACTTTACAGGCAAACCAACATCACATATCTTGCATTTTGTTGTAGTTTCTGCAATAATGATATTTTGTTTGTTTACCTTTGAGGCATTTGTAAATTCTCTAGATGGCTGATCAGAATACATCTTTTTTCTATTGTTTGATTATGAGTATTTTCATTTTTTTGTTGAGAGTATCTGTTTGTTTCTTCAACAATTTTTCTCTTACATTTATCAAAGAATTTTGAAAATAATCCTAAAGAAGTTTCTTTAGCTACAGTACAATCTTCGTTATCAGAAAAGATAAGTCATATTTCGCATAATGATAATACTTTTTATTTTTTACTTTTTCTCAATTTCAGTGTAAAGTTTTATTAAACGATACTTAATATTCAGGAACTCAATTTTCAAGTTCTTGATTTTGGTGGTTTATTTCCACATCACTTTGCATTTGACTCACTGATAAATTATTAATATATATAATATCCTCATCTACAGAGTATTCATCAGTCATATTGCTAAATGTATTTGTAAGAAGTAATAGAATAATTGATTCAGGATCAATTTCATCTTCCTTTAACATAGACAACATTTTATGAAGGATGAAATCTCTATAAAGCCAAGCAGTAGCATGAATGCCTGATGTCCTATATATAGGAAATCTAACTTTTCTTTATTATTAAATTTTATACAAGATTATTATGAAATAATTTTTACTAAAAACTAGAAGATTTAACTATATATTTTATAAATTTTCTAAAAACAAGTAAAATTTTGACACTTTTATTAGAAAATTTATATTACCTTTTGAAGTGAACACCAAAATCGGCCATATCAAAAGAAGTTGCTATTTCAATCGAATATATTTTAAAAATTTGCTGTTAATAAACCACTAATTGTGTTTATTTATCAATTATAACTGATCTAAGTGCCTACACAAAAATAACTATTGAAAATTTATTGTTCAAAGCTTGTTGAAACAACTTTTAACCCTCCTCATACACACTCGTTGAACTTTTATCCCTGGTACTGGTTAGATTTCAGAACAAATGTTTTCAGCCTCACCCGAGGTCTGCTTTGGGTTAAATGAAAACTGGATTCCAAACTTAGAACTGTTTTTGAAACACTTTCCAACATTGAGTTTTAAATCTAAGCAGTACCAAGGATAAAGGTTCAACAAGTGTGTATGAGGGTGATCATAACACTGGTAAACAGAGTAGAAGATATTGTAACATCCTACATATAGGACATTAGGCATATATGGGTTAAGCTGGCCTTCTTGTTAAATATTTAGGACTTGTCATACACCAATGATAAGGTTTTTAAATTGTAGTGTTATTAATTATTTTATTAACAAAAAATAAATTTATAATTTCATAATATTTGGGATGCATTTTGGGAGAGACATTAATTCATTCCACTCTTCAGCCTAATCTGACAGACACAATGAATTGGTGAATATTTTAGATAATGCATTTCTTTACATTTTTTTAATGCATTCCAACAATATTGTACGGTTGGGTTGCATTCAATTTGCTACTCAATACTACATTAAACCAAAGAAGGTTAGCTTAAAATAGTTATTTAAAGACAAGTAGCTTAAAGCAAATTAAACAATGTTTTGTAATTTAGAATAGTAATCAAGAGCTTTAAGTTAAGTATTATTTTAATTTTCCTATTTACTAATGTATTCTAATACTAGGTTATGAAATCCTCAGATTGAAATATGCAACTGTGTTATTATTATTATTATGGAAAGTATATAGGAGGCATTACTCAAAGGTGTTTCCTCTAAGGGGATGAAATGAAGTGAGAAGGTCTTAGACGGAAGGGAAAGTGATTGGTGGCAGAGGCCAAAGACGATGAAAGTGGGAAGAGAAGTTGGAAAATGAAGGGGGGAGGTCATGAGCCACAGCTGGACGTAGAATTGAACAGTGGAGGATACACAGGATACCGGATGATACAATAGCTATATACAGAGGATATAGTTGGAGTACCGTAGAGGTGCAATACACTGTAGAAAGTTGCATACCATGGAAATATAAATACAAGTATAAAATGGTGTGACCAAGAGCAGTACATAGGCCGTGGTGTAACACCATGGAGCAGAAGTATTCGAGGACAGATGTACAATACACGGAAGTAGAAATATACAAATACATTAAACAGTAACTGTGACATGACATTACCGCGGAGAGGAGTTAACAAATACAGATGTACCGATCACAAAGCCAACACAATACAGAGGTAATTGCGGAGGAAGAGATTAAGTCTACGTCCGTTACATATTAATTTAACTTGTGATGAAAATGGACAGGCCGCAGGAGCAGGCCAGGCAAACAGTACAGATAATTGGGAAGAAGGTACAAGAAGAAAACTTAAGTTAAAATTATCTACAGAGCTACATGCATACAGAATTACAGTTGTTACAACGAGATACATCTCGAAATGCAATATATCCAATATACATAAACAGGAAAACTTAGTACATAAGAAACCAGCTACGGGGTATTTATACACAGAAATCCACCACATGGGACAGAGCCCATTTACCTGGAAGGTGCCCTCGAGGAGGTCTATTCAGTTGGTGCTAGTCCCTTGATGAGTATTGGGAGGGTCGAGGCTGCAGTAGATTTCAGAAAGGTGATAGTAGCACTGTAGATGTTTTGGTCCTTAAGCAACTTGCTATGTGAGCAGGGCCAGCTGTAATTATTCTTGAGTACCTCGCCCATCAGCCTTATCCATTTTTGCTCGTAGAACTTGCAATCCCAGAGAAGGTGCCTAGTGTCATGTATAGATGAGTTATCACACGAGCAGGTGTCAATAGATTTGATGTTAAATCTCTTCAGGTATGCATTGAAGCAGCCATGCCTGGTGATTAGTTGTGTCAGTTGGTAGTTCGGGGTGAAGTAAATCCACTTCAACGTATCACCAATGTCCAGGATAAACTCATAAGTTGTTCTCCCTGTAACACCGTTGTCCCATTCACGTTGCCACAGTTTGAGGGCCTGGTCGTAAGCCCAGGACTTAACTTTAGACATGGGAATCTTGCTGTAAGAGTAGATGAGGCCGGAACTGTCAGCCTGCTTTGCAAGCCAGCCCACCGCCTCATTGCAAGGGACACCAGAGTGCCCACGAACCCACTTGAAGTGAAACGTGTGCTGGTGCGTATTTGTAGAAAGTAGGTGATGGATTTTTGAAATGCACTCACCTCTGTTGTATGGATTGTAGAGGGAGTGAAAAGCAGTCAACAAGTCCGTGTAAACACAGATGTCCATTCAATGGGGAAACCACTCCTCGTACACGTGTTCCACAGCCTTATAGATTGTGAGGATCTCGGCCTGTGGAACTGAGCAGTGGGGCCCTAGCCTGAAAGCAGACCTGTGTGTTGTGTAGTTTCTGTGATTAAACAGAACAAAAGCGGCACCAACACTGCCACTGTGGAGCGAACCATCCGTGTAGATAGATACGTCCATATGATGGGTATGGGAGACACAGTTCTGAAGCCAAGGATACTCTTGATAACTGTTTGAATTGGTGGATTTACTTTCTATTTTATAACGATTCAAGTCTTCCTTGAGCTGAGGGTCGAGAGTCAGTGAGAAGTCTTTATAGTTATTGCAGGAGTCCTTTGAGTGATTATTAGTGTGCCACAGCCACATGAGCATTCTGGCTTTAATGTGGGCCGGTAGAAGGCCGGCAATGACAAGCAGGGCGGAAGTAGAAGCCGTGCGATATGCCCTGCAGATACGAAGGGCAGCAATTCTCTGTGCCTTGAGGAGTTTACGCTGTGTATGCACTTTCTTAGTGGTGGCTGACCAGATGGGGCAGCATAAAGGAGGATCGGTTTGATAGCTCCTAAATAAATGTGCCGAGCAGCCTTATAACTGACGCCCCAGGTGTTCTTGGCTATGCTAAAGAGGGCATTTGAAACCCGGGCCACCTTAGCACTGACCATCTCAATGTCCCTTGTCCACTGAAGTTGCTGTTCAAAGACCACGCCAAGATAGGGGAACTCAGTCTTTTTTTGGAGACGGTTACCATCAATGTGGATCCTTGGGCTCCTCTGTAGGGGAGTGTTCTTAGAGAAGATGATGTATGAAGATTTACTGAAGTTTATGGGGAGCTTCATGCAGTTGCTCCAGTCCGCCACTTTTCTGAGGATGTTGTTACTGAGGACGGGGAGAATACCACTGTTTTGGTTGGAAGACAGGATGATAGTGTCATC